ACATTTAAATTTACCCAAAAGTTGCTAGCCTATCCTGCCCTTTGATATTAATTCTATGGAACTACATTGCACTTTAGCAAAAGGAAGTCATAAGATTTATTTTTCCAAATTGGCTGTTCTGGATTAATTTTTACAATTCCCTAGAAACAGCCAAACATAAATCATTTTTGTATCACCACAAAATTTTAAATGTTTAAGCTGAAGGTAGCACTAAATTGAGGAGCAAAGTTAAATTCCTACCCTACATACAGTTAATTGCATATGTATATTGTGTGTTTTATTAATGTTCTTCCAATTATATTTGACCTCTGTTGACATTTAGTGTAAGAATACATGCTTGCAATTTATTAAGGTATATGTACTTCTACAGATAAGCACCTTGTTGACTAATTGTATAACCTTTAACATGTTAATGTCACTAGCTCATTTTATTGTGTTAATTAATAAATAATGCAAATAGCTATGTACCCATTAATTAACTTCAAGGCAATCAACTTGCGAGTTAATCTTTTACAGAGGAAGAGTAAGGTAAATTAGTTATGCATGTTTTACATGATTATTGATGTTAATAAATGCTTCATAACAAAGAGAAAAATATATGCACTGTGTTTTATTTCCATAAGAATTGTACAACAATCTTAAACCATTTAAGTCATTGGTCTCAAAGCTGCAGCACAGAGGCCATTTTCTGCCTCTAAATACCTAAATTCAGTCCAGGCCACCCATCTGGAATAAAGAAGTTTATCTAAGTCCTCAGACTACCCTTTCCAGACTGCTGGTGGCCAGGTCTGTTTCAAGAAAGTGACCGTGTCCTTATTTACAGTATTTAAGGAGGCTGGACATTCAGTAGTGAAGCTGGCAGTGACAGCACAAGAAAGTAGCCTCAATAGAGAGCTCAGACAAGCTACAGGTGTTAGGGTGAAAGCATATATTGTATACATATGGGAGTGTGTAGCTGTGTGTGTCTGTAGTTATAAAGGCTCTGATATGTGTGGGCTGTACAGCTCTGCAAGCACCATAGAAGGTTGAGACTTGGTCAATGACCTCCTGCTTTAAAGGAACACTCTAATCACCATATCCACATCAGCGCTCTGTAGTGTTTATGGTGCCTGGCCCTCCCCCAATTATAAGTAGTCAAACCATTTTAGAATAGTTTAACTTCATATCTGGGTTTCAGCGGGTGCTGCCTACCACTGTTAACTAGTGATGTCATGAACCGTTCGCGAACTTGCCGCGAACAGTTCGCCACAGTTCGCCACAGTTCGCCACGAACCGTTCACGGTGAACTCCGGTCAGCTGACACATCCCTGCCAATCTCGGGCAGATCCTCCCTCCCAGACCTTCCTACTTCCTGGACAGCATCCATGTTGAAGGCAGCTTCAACATGGATGCTGTCCAGGAGGTGGGAGGCTCTGGGAGGGAGGGTCTGCCGGAGATTGGCAGGGATGTGTCAGCTGACCAGAGTTCGCCGCGAAAGGGTTCGTGGCGAACCGTGGCGAACCGTTCGCGGCAAGTTCGCGAACGGTTCGTGACATCACTACTGTTAACTCTCTAAAATGGATTAGTAAAAGCATATCAAAATCTCTTCTTGTGGAACAGTAGAACAATCTCTTAAACAAACATCTAATGCACCTTAACACACCCCTTGATACTGATTAAATGTATCAGTCCAGCAGAAGATGGTAACCTTATCTGTATTCACCCAGTAGGCATTCTTTACCATAACTGGGAAAATCTAGATAGAAATTTGAAACTTTGAAGAAAGGAAGATAAAGAAAAACTAGAGGAACACAACAATGAGCTTGAGGACAACTGAAAATTGAGAGTGCCTTGGTTATCCTTATCTTACAGCTATCTCACCTTCAAGAGTGGAGACATACCAGAGAGATGATTATTTTACAACTAAGGGGAACCTACAGTTCTTAGAAACTGAAATCTAGATTTCCTGTGCCCTTTAAAAGCACCTGCTATGTTTTCTTAGTTCTGGTAAAAAAAAACAAGGTTATTTTATAATAAAATTAAATATGTCTTAATGTGGGTGCATTAAATAGCACATGGCATGTGTAGTATTTTGTGCTACAGGTGCTATTCCGAGAAAAACTGAAAAATGTATATGCCCCAGTATTGCTGCTATGGATAACAATGAGAGCTGTAGAAAAAAAAAAAAAAATAGCATTTCCAAATGTATGGTCATTTGCTCAAAAATCAAACTAAATCCTATATTAAGCCAAAAATTATTCCCAAATTTTCATTTTCAGGTAGCAAATATACTGCACTAAAAGACAGACTTCCCTACAGGGCTGTCATAGGCTGCTAGCACCAGGGTGTGGAGTTGACAGAACTATATTTCCCCTGATGCAGCCTCCATATTGAATCCATGTATGCTTCTTTGTTTAAGCCTGGTGCTTCTGCAGCTCAGTACAAAAAGTAACAGTGTCTGAGAGCTCTCTCCAAGTTCTACACTTTGACTACATCCCTGTCCTTTCAAACCTGTAGTTTCTGATAAACCTCCGCTGACTTTATGCTTTGTGTTCTTCCTTCCTCATTCTCTCCCCTGCTTACAGCTCCCCATTTCAGTCTCATCCAGGAACAAAATGATGGTGGGACTTGAACTGATTCTCACTTTCTACTGCTGTGCCACTGTATTTCCTGTATCCTTAGTTATATGTTCTGACTATGTTTTGCTCTCTTGTGCTTGTGTATCTGACCTGGCCTCTTCAACCTGAATTTGTGCACCAGTTCCTGGACTGTATGAATTTCCATCCAGTGTACCAACCCCTGACTTGTTCCTAACATTGCTTTTCTTGTCCTCCTGACCATAGCAATGTCACAGTTTCCTCCCATGCTCTTTTGTACTCTGGTCGTGCTGATAATTTTTTGGAGAGAAATGTATCCCTCTCTTTTGTGTGCCATGAATTACTGTCACCACTATATAAATACTTGGTGCCTGTCTTCTAAGTACAATTGTCCTGGAGTGTTTCCCAATTACCTGGTGGGCATTAAGACTTTATTAATGGTTAATTAGATACAACATTCTGGCAGACAGAGTTCCCTACTGTAGGTACATGGAGTACACCTGTCATAAGGTGAGCCCTCTTCATATCTGTTTTTGTATGTAATCCCAGATAGACAGCTTCCTCCTTTTTTGGCAGCTCAGATTTCTTTCCTGACTGTTTTTGGTACTGAAATTCTGTTTATTCGAACCACAACATGAACTAATTTCGGGCGTTCCCAAAGTTTTTTGGGTTTTTTTCACCCAAATTGGTTTGTCAGAACTGCATTTTTTCACTGTGCCCAATTAAATTATATTTTAAATATGTATTAAATAAGTAGTAATATAGAAATAGTTTTTTACTGCTGCATCCTTTTACCTACTGCATATTGGGCATTCAATAGTAATTTTATCTGTGAATAAATTGGATATTTAGTGGCTGTCCCCTAACCATCAATAATATTTTTCCCATCAACCAAATTAATATGTTTAGCCCCTATATTTACAAATATATTCGGGGCCAATGCAAATCATTGTGTGGAAATCTATTCACAAACCAAACTTTACATAGGACACGAGGTCATGCGTTTAGACTGGAAGAAAGAAGATTTTGTCTAAGGCAAAGGAAAGGTTTTTTTACTTTAAGAACAATAAGGATGTGGAATTCTCTGCCTGAAGAAGTGGTTTTATCAGAGTCCATACAGATGTTCAAATAGCTACTAGATGCATACTTGCAAAAAAAGAAGGATATAATCTTTCAATGTAGGGTAATAACTGCTTGACGCAATGATAAATCTGACTGCCATTCTTGGGTCAAGAAGGATTTTTTTTCCTAGCTTGTTGCAAAATTGGAAGTGCTTCAAACTGTTTTTTTTTTTGCCTTCTTTTGGATCAACAGCAAAAAATAAATGTGAGGAAGACTGAACTTGGTGGACGTGAGTCTCTTTTCAGCTATGTAACTATGTAACTATGTAATACTTGTCGTTTGCTTGGGTATACATCTGGGTGGAGATACAGAGACAGAGCCCAGGGAATCTCCACACAGTGAAAAGAAGCAGTGACAGCCTTGGGCCTAGTCATATACATTAACCCAATTTGACTGCATATGGTGAGAATGAATGGAAATAAGGATAAGTATATTCTGAGCATATAAATATACATGCTTTGTCTCCTTTTCCCCTTTCCAGTTCCTTTTAACAAAAATCAAATTGTGCTCAGGCTGTTATTCAATACAAATTGTACTGCTGAGCTTTAGAACTTTTCTTAAAACCAATTTGATATTTTTGAAAAAAAATACTGAATTATGAACGCAATTAAGGAAATCAATTAAAAAATGCAACTCATTTATCATTTAGTTTTGCTATTAAAGTAACTTTAAATTGGTAGCTATTTGTATTGTATGCTGATATTGTTAAATAATAAAAAAAAAAGTGAAAACAATATCAGTATGTTCCTTGATTAATATTTTACAATTTGTTAAAGCAAACACAAAATTTTGGATATTAAAGAGCTTTAACTGCTCAACTTAGGAAGCAAATTCCATATTTATTTGGAGACGCTATGTTATCAAAGGCTCATTAAAATCTCCACTTTCAATCATGCGGTCATTCCAGGAGTACTGGGGACTAAATTAGTGTCATTTAAGGATGGTGATGATGGTTTTTGCAGTGTGTGAGATAGAATTACTGAGCATAATCAAGGCTTGAACTCATGATTTCATTAATGAGATTCAATGAGTTTGTTTTTGAGCAGAGATCTACTTTGTAATCATTGCCACTCTTGCTGAGCAGTACTGTTGTTTATGATTTACATTTGTGTCAGCTTAAATTATGTCAAATCTTCTACGGTCTTTTTTTTTATTTGTTGAAACTCCACATTAGTACAAATACTTTCCATGCAACTCTTCAGAGAATTCTTTTAATCTAGTTCTTATTTATTTATTTGTAGGTTTGCACTAACTTATAATTGCTGTTATTTGTCCTTATTTAAAAATATACATAATTCTATAGATATATAATATGTTAGGCATTTTATCTCTATCTCTCTCTCTCTCTCTCTAATCATTCTTGAATATATATATATTCCCAAGAATGATTAGAGAGAGAGAGAGAGAGATAAAATGCCTAACATATTATATATCTATAGAATTATATATGTTGACTAAAATCTACTGGAGGTTTAGTCGATTAAAACTAGACAAAAACTAAAACAATTCAGATGACTAAAAATGACTAAAACTAAAATGGCTTTTTACTCCAAAGACTATGACTAAAACTAAATAGAAATTTGCTACCCACATTTACACTGTTTCTAACACTTTATTGTTCCTTTAAAAAAAAAAAATAAGCCTTAACGACTGTGTAGTCTGAAAACTCAGCCTTAACGACTGTGTAGTCTGAATAAAAAATTAGTTAGATGTTGTAATTAACATGAGGGAAAATGTAAACATATACAAATAAGACTGTGCATGATAAAACTGTACACAGGTAAAAATGAAGAACAGTACAGTGTGGCACTCCAGGGGAAAATGAATAATAACCATTGCACTCCCTGTTATTCCGTGGATCGCAACTTCAAAGTTATAACATAAAATAGAGAATCCACCAGTTCAATGGGTAAGGTGCATCATGTAGGTTTATTGAAGATAGGGAGAAAAAAAGAAAACATTTTGACCCAGAGGCCTTAATCATTATATATTAAGGCATCTTGGCTGAAATGTGTATTTTTTGAGTTCTTATTTTCAATAAGCCCACGTGGAACACCTTAATTGAAGAACCAGTGGATTATCTTCTTCATAGATAAATATGATTTATAAGGTAAAAAGAGAATTTTCTATTGAAAGTAAAATGTTTGGGTTACATGAGTCAAAAAGTAAGACAGCAGCTGATTAAATTGTAAACTACAGGTGCATGTCCAATATTTGAACTTGTCATCTTCAGAATGTATGTGCATTAGTTGCTTGTTGCAATCTGCATACTCAGGGTTGGATAACCAGGCATGTACACACAATAATGGAGGAACACACCACACATGTGCTTATCACTTTACTGCTCCATTCTCAACGGGGCAAAAGGCAGGGCAACAACTTTATTCTCCCATGAGCAAATAACACATTGAGGGCAATTTAGGATTACATTCTCAACACCCCCACTTGCACTCACATGTTTTATTCACAAGAAACATATTTTGTATTCTTTAGAGAAAATTACATTAAAAAACAAATTACTCAAGTGTGTTTTAGTTTGAAATTTGTTGCATGCATCGTCATAGTATTTGCTATCATCTTTTGGGTTCAACAATGATATCGTCAATGATCACTGATCTGGTGAAGTGGTATTTGAAATCAATATGCTTGCATGTTTGATGACAAACTGTATTCCTTGAAAGAGCTGTGGATCCATGATTGTCCCCAAAGGTTTGTACTGGTTAATATTGATATTGATTTACATTCCCCTGAGTAATTGCATCATAAACAAACAGTCTTGTGTAGTCACAGCTAAAGCCATATATTCATAATCACAAGAGGACAAAGTTACTATAGGCTGTTCCTTATACTTCCATTCAATCAGTGGACTCTTCTCTAGAAGACTAAAGCAGCATATGGTCATGCTTCATCTATCATTTACATCAGAGACCTAATCTGCATTACTGTATGCTTCTACAGTCAAACCTTGATTATGTTTCTTTTAGCATAACTCATAGCTAATGATATGTTAGAAGCATTTCATCACATCTTTAACTGTGACCGAAAGTTCTTCTGTTGGTTTAGACAAGTGCTGTGATAGTTTACTGATTACATAGTAACTTAAATCTCTTCTTGTACAGGTCATTGTATATAGTAAACTGCCTATCATTTCTTGATATTTCTTTGTATCCACAGAATAATTGGGATTATCATGATCTAGTCTTTGTTCACAAGGTATAAATTTGGGTTTACAATCTGTCATATCCAAAGTTCACCAGAATCTTTAATATATTTCTTTTGGTTCATATTCTCTAGACCAACACTATGTTCTAAGTGCCTATAAAATGTTTGATTCTTCCTAGGTTTTTCATCTTGACTTTGGCTGTAAGCATTCCGTTTACATCCTTGAGTATTGTTTCACTACCAGCAACTATAAAGAGATCATATATCCATATTATCAGTATCACTTTCCATTTCTATCCTGTTTTTTTATATACATAGTAATCTACAAGATTCTGTTCAAACTAATTTCCAATTAAATGGGGATGTAGTATTTTGTTCCAATTTCTACCCAGTTACTTTAAACTATATAATGAATTGTTCAATTTAAGAGCTAGTTTTTCATTCTGTTTGGACTTGACCTCAAAACCATCTGGATGTTCTACATGTTTTTCACAATCAATAAGAGCATGTAAATAAGCTGTTTTCACATTTGTACTGATGTAATTTTTGCTGTTGGAGAGAATGTTTATTTGTAATTAACTCCCTTTACTTGATTATAACCTTTAGTAATATATCTGTTTTTAAATGGTTCATATCCATTAGTTTTGTTCTTTATTACATACACCTTTTGCCCCCCCCAAGCCCCCATGAAAGTTTACATACTAGTAAAGTCGTCAAAATGCATGCGTCATTCTCCTTTAGTAAATCAATTTAATCTTTCAGAGCATTAAGCCAGGATTGTGAGTAAAGTGAGTTTATGGCATCTTCAAAGGTTTGTGATATGTCATACACACTGTAACAATAATTATTGTTGTTAACACACTGTTATTACTTTTAAAATATGAAACATAATCTTCCAAGTATTGAGAAACTTTTCTATTTCTTTCAGGGTAATGTGTACCATGATCATTCTTTGTTGAACATTATTCTCACTCTCTGAGATCTCGGTATCGTTTTAATACTCAATTATTTATTTTCGGTACAGAAGGTATGTTGCTTTCCGTCTGAACCCTCTACATCATGCAATAGATCAGTTTGAGTTTTCTTTTCAACAGTTTTATTTCTAATTAATACAATAATAATACACTAAATATGAAGGTCTGTAATTGTCATATTTTTTATATTTTGTCATAATTTAACTTCTTTCTTTCATACTTATATTCAAAACATTCTGTTGCAAAAATATTTATTTGAGAAAGGTTAGGTTTTTGCCCATTAACAGATAGTATGGAGTTTCTTGTAGACAGTTGTTAAAGCACTTGTTTGGGGGGGGAGGGGTCTAACTGTTGAACCGAATGTATGTGGACATCCAATATAATGTGTAACCCCCCACCAAAAAACATATCTTTCATCAACGCTCAGGGAAAATGACGATAGTGAAACACGGCTCCCTAACAAAGATTTGAAAAGACATGGCAGACAGGCCTGTCAACCACAATGATCCCAAAATGGCATCCACATCGAACATGGTGGGATCAGAAGCCTATCAATCGCAACTGGATCCATGCCTTAGGGAACTCCTGACAAATCTCCCAACAAAAAGGGATATGGAGAATATGCTGCACAAACTCTAAAGCTCATTCCAGAAGAAGCTGGAAGCCCTTGGGACTGACATACGCCGGGTGGGCAAGCAGGTGAGCTCTCTTGAGGATGACAGGGCCTACTCTTCTTCCAAATGCAACACGTGCAATCAGCTATTGAAACCAACAATTCAGCTATGTCTGCATATCAGAGATCCTTAGACGACCTCGAGAACACAAGCGCCACAACAATTTGCGGATCAAGGGCTAACCTGAACAGGATCAAGAGGATCTTCATATGATGCTTTTAGGAGCTTTTCAACCTAATTCTAGACAAACCCTGGTGTGACAAGACCAATCTCGCCACATTGCATTGGAGAAGCCTGGTTGCTCGCCTGCTGCCTTTGGACTATGGTCCCCTGTTAAAAGACATCTTTTTTACCTGCAGAAAAGCTTAATTCGTGCTTTTCTGCCTGGGGTTCGGTAGTTTTGGTTGAATGTGTTATACCCCAGATAGGAATCCCATGGAGCCCATTCGTATGAAACTGACTGTAAAGACTTTGGCTCCATGGCGATTAAACTGTATTCGTGTGGTCTGATCGCCATTCGCTTAATAATGTGCACTCAGACCTGAGCTATCTGGGGATATGTTACATGTCTGTGTTTTATGTAATAAATGTTATTTTATGTATTTTAAAGTATAATACTGGTTTTGTGTCTCTACATTGGTAATGGAGTTTTGTCTTTGTCCTGGGAGATAATTGAATTACTTCTCCAGGGCAGAGGGGAGGAAGCCAGGATGCATTGTGGGGATGTTTTACTTCTGTATGTCTGTAATTGGTACATGTCTGTCTTTTGTTACAGTCTTCCATCTGGTCCCCTAGGGGAGTGTCCACCAGGTGGGAGACCTGCATAAATACTGGGCATTAAACAGACCACTGCTTGACCCTCAACACGGAGCCTTGTCTCGTTCTTGGGGGGATTCACTGTAATGCTGTTAGACACTGATTGCCAGGAGTGTAAGCTGATTGTCTGCTTTTCCTGTTCGTCTGCTAGCAGCTATTTGGGAGGTTCCAGTTCGGGAGTTGGAGTGCTATTTTGTATCCAGTTCGGGAGTTTGGTGTTCTGCAGTAGCTGTGCCTGTATCTCTGGAAAGGGGGCCAATTGCCTAAACGGTTTTTACCCCTTGTGTGCAAAACGGTCCGTTACACCTGGTCATCCTAGATTGGGCACATCGCTGCCTCCGACCCACGGGGTCTAAGGCTGATATGCAGAGGGATGTTATTTGCTGAATGCATCATTTCTCCAACAAAGAAGACTTGCATTGCAGCCTTAGATATACATACCCAACCACTGCTATTTCCCGAGGTCCCAGTTCAAATTTTTACAGATCTATCCTGGCTGACTCTACAGACATGCAGAATTCTCAGGCCGATAAGTGACCTGCTCAGGGTTCGGAACATTAGGTACTGCTGGGGCTTCTCCTTGGCACTTATCATTGCAAGACAGGGCACGACAATTATGATTTCCACTAAACAAGAAGTCCAGCCATTTCTTAGAGCACTGGACTTACCAGATGTTCAAGTTGAAGACTTGTATTCACCTGCCCAACTTAAATACAACATCCATCATTCCACAATGCCAACACTGGCAGTCAGTGCCCAAGAGATGCCATATAGAAATGTCGGAGAGACAAGTACCACAGTCCACATCCAGGCCTCCGACCATCTAACACTCATGGATATCCTGTTCTATACTTGACCTGTACTGTTGACTTTCCAGTGTATCTCATCTACCTGATATGCTATCCTATATGCTTACAATGGATTAAGAAGACAAAAACAAAAAATTAAACACATTTAAAAAAATAAAATAAATAAAAACAAAACAATATATAACATTACTGAATCCAATATGAGACATGGCTGCAGTGTGCTTCTCATTCAAGTCTATTGCTACTTATTCACCATCTCAGACTTGTCCAATGCTGTATTGATTGGAGGAACCAGAACCGACCACAACATGGGGCATTGCCCAAACCTCCAGATTACCACACCAAATCACCCACTATGGACATTGACCATTCACACAAGCATTGGAAAAGTGAACCATTACCTACATACTACTAATTTATACCCATGGTACCAGAGACATACTTGACACCAAGACCTGCTATCAGGTGGAAAAACTCAGATTGAATAGAGGTGTGATTGTTAAATGCCATTACTTGGAGTTTCACTTTACTAGGCGAGGGAATATCATACCTTCCTTTTTAAACATACATATGCTTCCTATCTCAGCTATCCTACTAGCACAACAATCAGGTGGGGAAGGGAAAGATACAAAAAAAAAAAAAATATGTGGGACAAGTTATAGTTACTAATTGCAGTATATTATCTTGGGTATGAGTAGTAGCAAATCTTGATACACCAGACATAACCTTGGTGAGACACGCCTTCCACAATACAAGCCGATGATCCTAGCGATAACCACACATTACAGTCAATACTAATTTGCCATACCCCACACCAGACCAGACACCAACATGCAACACATTAGAATTGCCCAAAATATATGGTTTCATGGGGATTCTTGCTGTTGTATATAAAATACTATTAAGCACTCACACTACCAGCATCACAGCCACACACAGATTAATAACCACTGCAAGCAGTGTCACTAGTAGATTTCTGGAGGCCTTGGACCCATCCGGGAATAGACACCGGCACACCCCCACACACATCACATGATACACGCAATACAGTTCACCAATTACAGCAGGTAAATACAATTGTTTGCTTTTTCTTTTAAATGCTTTATTTTTTTTGTTCTTGATTGTTTCTTTTTTGTTTTTAATTCCGTATTGTATAACATTTTTGCATAACTCATTGCCACTGGGGGGACCCAATCACTTCACTTACCAACCATAACAAGCATAAGATGGTGACCATTCAAGTAGTAACCCTAAACACTAGGGGCCTTAATACACATGAAATATGTAAACTGATTTTGATGGAACTACATAGATGAAAAGCAGATGTGGCATTCTTGCAGACACACTTCAAACAGGGGGCGGTTCCGTACCTTAGCAATCGATAGTACCACAATGGTTATTTCAATAACTATACAAAATCCAAGTCGAGGGGAGTAGCAGCCCACCTCCCCTTCCAATACCAAGTACACCAGTAAGATGACTTGGGCAGGCTCATAATGGTAAAGGGACACACAGGCCAAACAGTAGTCACATTTGCTAACCTCTATCTGCCTAATAGAAACCAATGCAAACACTTGCGCAGATGTATTAGATTAATAGATGATTTTCATAGAGGGTCTGCTGATCATAGGAGGGGATTTTAACATGTCATTAGACACCACCATGGACACATCATCAGCGACACACTTACCAACTATCAGCCAGGAAACAGGTAAATTAACTTTTAAATCTGGCTAAATTGTTCGATAGCTGACGTATAACCCAGAGACTATTCCTTCTACTCACCAGCAGCAAACTCTTACTCTAGAATTGAAATGCTCTTTTTGCCACATAGATATTTCCATCGAATCCAAACATGCTCTTATGGTCCCATCACATGGTCGGACCATGCACCCCTGTTTCTTGCTTTAGCAATCCCAGCCCTATCACACACAATTTCCCGTTGGAAGTTAAACGACACACTATTAAATGATGCTGAATGCAGGGCCGCCATCAGGGGGTGACAACCATGACTGTTGTCATGGGCCCGGCGGTCCTGGGGGGCCCAGGCACCCAGGCCCCCCCATTCCCAATGTGCATACATATATATAGCGTTTATCGCTATATGTATGTGTTTTGGCAGTGTCATAACTATCTGAGGGGGCCCATCAGGTGGCCCATGCACTTAGGACCACCCGATGGGCATATCTCTAAAGGGGCCCGATCAGTGCTGCAGATTTTTAATAGCTAGTCTGGGCCCCTTTAAGGATCGTTGCACTGCTGGGAGGAAGTGAGCTCACTTCCTCCCAGCTAACACCCGCGCGGGAGGAAGCACCGGGGAGTGTGAAGAGGAGAGGAGGACAGAGTCAGACCCACACCCACACCCACATTAGCATCAGCCCCAGCCAGCAGAGTCCACCCTCCTGCATCCTAAAGGTAAGAACCATGAGGGTGGGAGGAAGCACTGGCGAGTGTGAAGAGGAGGACAGAGTCAGACTCACACCCACATCAGCCCCAGCCCCAGCCAGCAGAGTCCACCCTCCTGCAGGTAAGAACCAGGAGGGTGGTTAAAAAAGTGTGTCAGTATGTATGTGTACCTGAGTGTGTGTGTGTGTGTGTGTGTCTGTATCTGTGGATGTATCATTGTGTGTATCTATGTGTTTGTTTGTATCTGGTTGGCAGTGTGCACCTGAGTGTATGTTTTTGTTATTGTTTTATTCTTTGATTTTTTTTTTTTTTTTATAGCAGTGCTGCAGCTTTTATGATCATGGTTTTCTAGTGACTGTATTTGATTTTTATGTACACTTTTTGTCCACAATAATTTTCACTACTTAGTTGATATGCCCCAATTATTTTAGTTTTAGTTGGGGTTCTATTTAAATGTTTAATCAGATTGTTAGTTTGTTTTGATAACTTTGTTGTAATGTATATCTTTTCTATTTGACGCTGCCTGTCCTGGCTTTTTGCTCTTTACATACAGACTGCCCATGTTGTGTACGTTTTTATCTTGCATAGCCTGTCTTATATTTTATGTGCATGGCCCATTTTCTGTCGTTTGCATTTATTTTTTTAAAGTGTGTTGTTTAATTAGTGCAATACATTTTTAAAAAATTTTTTTTATTATATATATCTATCTGGAGCGCTCACGCTTTCTTTTTTTTCTGAGATTCTCAACTAAAGCTGTGTTTATTTGGTGTGAATCTGCCCATAGAATTGATTACTTTATTATTGTTTCTCTACATTTTTACACATATATTTTATTTATATTTTGTTTTTATGTGTATCTGTTTGTGTGTCTGTATGTATCTGTCAATGTGCACCTGAGTGTGTGTGTGTGTCTGTATCTTTCAGTGTGTATATCTGTGTGTCTGTGTATTTACATGTATGTCAGTGTGTGTCTGTATGTGTCCTATGTGTGTGTATGTATCAGAGTGCATGTGTGTGTATCTATGTGTGTGTCTGTGTATATTTGGGTGCCAGATTGCACCTGAGTGTGTATCTGTGTCTGTGTGTGTATCTGTGTGTCTGTATCTGGGTGTTAGTGTGCACGTGAATGTATGTGTGTGTAACTGTGTCTGTATATTTTCATGTATGTCAATGCATGTGCCTGTATCTCCTATGTGTGTGCATGTGTGTATCAGTGTGTGTATGTGTCTGTATCTGTGTGTCAGTTTGCACCTGAGTGTGTCTGTGTATATGTGTGTATGTCTATGTATCTGTGTCAGTGTGAACCTGAGTGTATGTGTGTGTAACTATGTGCCAATATGTGTAACTGTGTCTGTGTATTTGCATGTATGTCAGGGGGTGTGTGTATGTGTCTGTATCTGTGTGTCAGTTTGCACCTGAGTGTGTCTGTGTATATGTGTGTATGTCTATGTATCTGTGTCAGTGTGAACCCGAGTGTATGTGTGTGTAACTATGTGCCAATATGTGTAACTGTGTCTGTGTATTTGCATGTATGTCAGGGGGTGTGTGTGTTTGTGTGTGTGTGTTTATATACTACAGACAAATGCACGCTTGCATTCAAACACCAACATTCAAATACACACATACTCCATTCAAAACCATGTTTATATTCAAACACACATACACTACTGTGTGCTAAATACAGCCCTGCAAATTATAGATCCATAGCTAGCAAAGCATTCTGGGACTTACAACAGATTCGGATCTACATTTGGCCACTTTACACACACTGCATCCACTAAACACACACTGTATTGACTACACACACAGACTCTGCATTCACTCTACACACATAATGCATCTTTGTTGGCAGATTCAAGGATGGCCCTGTGGGCGGACTCGTGAGTGGGCACTGGGGGCCCAGACCTTGAACTTTGTCAGGGGCCCCAACATTTCTGATGGCAGCCCTGGCTGAATGCACCAGTTCACTTACAGAGGCACTCTCCCACTACTTCACAGAGAATTCTTCACCGACTTCTACCCCCACAATGACATGGGAGGCACACAAATGCATCTTGAGAGGTGTGAACATTGCTATAGCAAGCAGAAAAAAGAAACAAAGAGAGGCCACCAAAAATTCACTCTTGACTGACATTAGAGAACTAGAGAACAAGCACAAACATACCCTCCACTGCTATTGACACATAAACGATCAGAACTTCAGATCCTCTTAAATGCACAAATAAAACGCAAAATGCTCTCCACCAAACACACATACTACTCACAGGGCGGTAAATGTGGAAGTTACTAGCTAGAGCTCTCAAACAAAGAATACAGATCACCTTCATAGCTAGCATTAAAAAAATCCTCTGGGGACCTAACCAATCTACTTCCGAAAAGAGTATGCAGATCTTCCAAGGGTTTTACACATCTCTCTATAATCTTAGGGAATCCATACCCTCAGAAACCCATATAACCCAATATCTAGAGAAGAGAATAAAACACATACTCTCATTAACGTTCAACAGTCTCTCAAAGACCCCATCTCCCCGGACAAATACAGGGCAGCGGTCAAACATCTACCCTTAGGCAAAAGCCCTGGCCAAGATGGATACACGGCCAAATATTTTAAAACATTTTCCTCTATATTACAAGAACCCTTTTTAAAGGCTTTTAATTCTCTGACAATTTCTCCACGACTTCCGAGCTTTGCACTGAAAGCACAAATCACTTTATTGCCCAAACTTGGTAAAGACCCCACGACTTGCAGCAGTTACCGTCCTATTTCCCTGATAAACGTCAACCTTAAGCTATTCACCAAACTTCTGGCAAATTGCCTAAGCCCATTAATGCAGACACTGGTCCACCCTGATCAGGCCGGCTTTGTGCCGGCAGGGAAGCAAAATACCACCAAACTGTTAAATCTGATCTAGCTATCCAAATTATCTGCACAACAGAGCCTACTACTCTTGATTGATGCTGAGAAGGCTTTTGACAGGGTGGACTGGTCAATGGTGGACAGAGTCTGCTACAGTGGTTTGGGGAAATATACTCAGAACCCATGGCAAAACTAAAAATCCACAGCCAATTATCAGGTCAAGTACATATCAGAAATGACACGAGGCAGGTGTACCCTTTCCCCTATCCTGTTCATATTAATCATGGAACCATTCCTCCAAGGTATAAGAGACAACCCGCACATACACGGGATAGCAGTAGCACAAAATGAACACAAACTAGCAGCATTTGCTGATGATCTACTGTTTGTAATCTCAGACTCCATCACTATGCCACACATCGTGGAAGAAATCAAATTATACAGAGAGCTATCCAACTTCAAAGTTAATTTCACTAAAAGTGAGATATTGGCACTAAATGTATCTCTGGAGGACCAGAATGAACTTAAACTTCAGTCAAATATAACCATCAAATACTTCGGAGTACAACTCACTCATTCCCTAAACCAAATGTATCAACTAAATTTCCACCATCTATTACAGGAAATCTTACGTGACCTTTCCAATTGGAATCCCTAAACCCCACTTTGGTTTGTTATGTCAGATCAACATTTTAAAAATTAACGCTCCCTGCATCTGCTATACCTACTGCAAGCGCTACCAATTCTCCTCCCCAAACCCTTTTCAAAGAGGTGAAACGACAGTTCACCTCTTTCATCTGGGCCTCCAAGCATCCAAGGATATCTTATGACATATTATCAAGACCTAAGACTTTGGGAGGATTGGGCCTGCCAAATATTGAAGTGTATCAAAAAGCAGTTTTCCTAACGAGAATTTAGGAGTGGTCCAACCCTTACATGGCGAAACAATGGGTACATATTGAGGAGACTATGTGTAGCGCATGGTACCCAAAGGTGGAATCAGTGAGACTTATGGAGGAATTAAACTCCTCTATTTTGCATAAATACGCACTATATCAGGGCATCTGGGAGCCATGGTTGAAATACATTCAAATCAAAAAGGAGGCCCTCAAAATCGGCCATAAATGATACAGGATGACACCAAGGTCCTCCTCCCTTCTAAGGCCATTACCAATACTCAATTTACTGACCTCCCACTCCCTCCCCCTCTGACTGGCAATGACAGCTGTAAAGGCATAACTGAACAAAATAGTGTGCTTTAACAACAATGGTTTAAGTTTACACTGTATACTGAGCTCAAGATTACACTGTACACCAGACATAAATTGGAAGCATCTGAGCCATACTGATACAGTACTGTTGCCCATCAGGCATGCTGTTGACATCATTAATGGATATATATCACAACAGTCAACCCCATGAGCTGGATTATATCAGTTATTCTCTCCCTGGCAATAGACAGATCTTGGGTGTGAAAATAAGGTCGTATACAAACCACTTGTTAATATAACCTCAGGATTTATGCAAATCAATGTACTAGGTATATATGTGTGTGTATATATATATATATATATATATATATATATATATATGTATATGTATATATATATATATGTGTGTATATATGTACTAAGTATACAAGACATTAATACTCTATGCAGCATTGTCTCTCACTCACTGTTTGTTAATACAATCTTCTTTTACCATGCAAATGTTGTAAACTAAACAAAATGCAAATACAATTCTAAAAAAGCACCTGTTTTGGACTCATTACTGTGTATGTCCATAGTTCCTTTGACAATTTGTTTTTGATCAACAGACATCATGTTATTTCAAAGAGTGTTTTTGTGCTTCTCTCACAAGTACCACTTTGACGGAGTGCGAAAGGTGCTCATGTCTAATAACTTGCTTGTGAAGTAGTGACCTACAATGTTTAGCCGTTAGCTGAGTACCATTGTCAGATCTCATACTGTAGCGGAGCTGCTACACGGCTCCCCAGCATGGGGTCCCTGTTCAACACAGAGTGATGCTGCCCTGGTGCCTCTGTGTCTGGTAGATAATAGAGTTAGCCCTTGCTAACAACACAAAAATACACCAAAAAACTCATAAAAACAAACAAAAACCCAACACATATCCCCAGATAGCTCTGATCCAAGTGCCCAGGTTGGCAAAATAGCTCTCCAATCCATAGAAATTTGACATATTGCTACTGGGATAAAGATTTTACCAGCTGCTAACAAGGTCCCACCAAAGAGAGTTCCACAACAAATGTCTATTTGGCCAGTCAAATATCGTAAGCTCCTGTGGACAAACAAGGGGGCACTCCCCCTGGCTCTCAGGGAGTGATTGTTCCGCTCAGTCATCTCTTCTCAAAATAGCTCTTTCTTGGCTGGTCGGGAAGTGGGAGAAAACAGAGGTGAAAGTTGGCCGGGAAATGCAGGTAGGCATAGCCGAGCCAGAGTTCCGCAGAATTGTGGTCAGGTCCCGCTAGAGTCCTTGCGACTCTCTGGATTCAATATCAGTCATTGGGAGAGGCACTCTTGGTCATAGCATAGAGGGGAGGGAGAGCCAGGGGTAGTGAAATAATGGAAAAATTAAGGACAAAACCAGGATTGATCACACATTTAATATTTCCATATGGGACTTTTTCAGCAGCTAACACTGCATTACTTTGTTTTTCCAGAATTATATTGTTCCTGAATAGTCACCAGTAAATGCCATGGCATATTTAAAACCATCTTATGCTTGAAGTTCTATGGAATCTGCTAAATCAGTATGTACCAGCGCTGTTGTGAATCTGGCATCTGGCTCTCTGCTTCTACTTTTAACAAATTTTCCTTGCGTGCAAATTTCACAGTTTAGGCCAGATTTACCAATGTTACCCTTAATCTTCATTACCTCTGAAACACTTTGTCAATATGCTTGTCTTCATAATTACAGAGGCCTAGAATTGTATGCCAGGTTCAAATATTGTAACATGCATGACTATCTCTTGATATTGCATGCTCTTCTCATGGGGAATATACTGTTCTGTTTTTACACAGGCGAATATTATACATTTATCTTTTTTGTTTTGTGTTCCTAATTTACTCATCCAAAAAGGGAACAAAACTACAAAAAACAATAAAACAAATTATGTAGACCTAGCTTAAGGGATAAGGCCCATCTTGCTTTACCAGAAGCAAATTAGGCAGTTGCACAGCTAAAATGACTTTATGTTGTCTTCACCTCATCCATGGGAAAAACCTATGTATCCTGCCTTTCCTTGGGTCACTGAACTTTCTTTTTACTTGCCTCAGTACATACACTTCTAATCTTTCTTTGATGTGCTCCACCTGTCTTTTGACTTGAGCTTACTGTTTTCGGATGGTGTAATTACTCCTAGTTAAGCCAGATATTTTCATTGCTCTGCATTCAGTTTCAAGTGTTTCAAGTTTAGTTCAGTTTTAGTGTTCTTAATGCTTCTGATATGACATAGGCATTTTGTACTTTTGTCTTTTATGTCTTTGCCATTGTTTTTATCTATTTATGCAAAAGGAAATGGATATTTCTATAGAATTGCAAACTTATGTTTAAAGCTTAAGCTTTATGTATCTTGTTATAAAAATGTTTGGTGTTTTGCATTTCAGTTCATTGCACTCTTATTATTTTTATTTTTTGACAAAGACTTGGTATGGAGGAATAGGTTGACTTGCTTTTGGCTCTTCCTCCATGATCCCCTCCTTCCCTGGGTTTCTGGAAGCCCCAGTGAGCCAAAATTGATGGATGTTGTTTGATGGACTTTGTTTATACTTTTTTGAGAAAAGTGCACTAAATGTACTATTGTATATGTGTATTTATTATTTCTGTCTTGCCCGGTATACCGCCGGGTGCGAGGCCCCTCCTGGCTGCCCGGCCACCATCGCAGACACAGGTCTGCAGCTCCGCAGTGAGCAGAGCTGCAGACCATGTGTCTCGCGAGAATTGGCCAATCAGAGCGTTGCCGCGGGTTACCACAGCAACACTCTGATGGTCTCGTGAAGAAGTGGCCACTGGACCACCAGGGAAGAGAAGGTAGGCTCCCTCACCACCCGCAGCCTCCCCCCACCAGCCTC